GTGTGTATAATAGAAGTTCTATTGTGACAAAATTAGCAATCGGAACTCTTTGTGTAAAAATATTTCTTCGAGCAACGAATTTTCCATTATTTTTAACTATTATCCATTCTCTCACATTAAGATGAAAATGGTGAAATAATCAGATTTCAATTCTTCGCTTCAATATCACTTTTCATTATTAAAAATTACAATGTATGAAATTTATGGTTTTACTTATCTAAAAATAAAAATTTGCAAATATAATTGTATTATTTATGAAAATCTCTTGATATCTATCTATTTTATTTCATGTGTCCAGTAAATTGTTTTTGACAAACGCATAAGGCTATTATGTGGACATGACAGCCACGTAAAATCGTAGAAAACAACGGGTAAACAAATTTGCATCGGTACATATTTTATACCTACAGCAACGTGGAAAACTGATAATCGGATTGAATGATACCTGGCTGGGATTCGCGTTGAAATTTCCGGAAATATTCTAATTGATGTGGATTCCCATTAATCCAATATCATGATATTATACACCGATAACCGGATTGTCATTCAACGATAATAGATACTGATAAAATGAATTGTCCAAAATAATTTTGTCCTCAGATCTGACACGTCATATTTTCATCAAAATTGAGATAAGACTTACGTGCAATTATTCACAAATATATCATATTGAAATTATAAAATAGTTTCACCTATTCTAAAATAAGAAAAATATGACATAAAATAAATCAGATTTTGCTATTTGATCACAAAATTTTTCTATAATTTTAATAATTTTCTGTTTTTATTGAAATATAATTTTTATTCGCTTACTTACATTAACTTGTTATTAATATACATAACTTGTTATTAACCAATGTAATTCATATTTAAAAAAATGTTTGTTATTTGTGATTAATTAATTTTTATTTCCGTCTTATATTTTTGTCTGCTTTTCTTTGTGGAATATATAAATAGAGTACGTATATAAAATGAGATAAAGAATATCTGTAGAATAAAAAAAAATGATTATTTTCTATTCATTAAATAATTTACACATTGAAATTATTTTAATGAAATTTCTTTATATTTTATGAAACAGACAATTATTGTAAAAGTATTAAGTGAGCAATATATGAATATAGAAAGACTAAATAACTAATACTACAACTATACAAATGTCAATATCAATTTATGGATAACAACTAAGATATATGAATTAAATATTTATAATAAAATGTTTAAAATTTTTAACGAATTTATTATTTCTTATTTTTTATTAACAGTTAGATATCAGAGTCATAATATTACAATAAAATATCTAGAATTTTTACATGATTAATTATTTTTTATTCGTATCAAATATAAATTTCTCGCATTTGTTTCTTAGACAATTACAAAAAGTATCGAATGTATGTCTTGCAAGGCAACCACTAACTGTGCTATTTAAAGTCCAATCACCGACAAGACGAACTTCTAGTGTTTCTACCGAATACTGAAGCATTCCTTGAATCAGTACCTACTTCCCAAAAATCGTTCAGAATTCTTTTGAAAGCGAGCAAGCTAAAAATTGGTATCTCCAATAAAATATAAATAAAAAATAACTTAACATATCACGCTATCGACTAAACTTTAATTTATCAATAACTTATAACTTACCAACAAACTTGTCAATAGTTAACAACGCAAAAAAAAAAATCATATTTTAAAATCATTGTTTAGTTTGTTTAGTTCCATGAAAAATCATAAAAACGAAAAGCATATCGAAATTGATAAAAATTTAATTGATTTCAAATGAATATTGCATAAAATTCTAGCACAATGATGAAGTTGTCACCTGACGCGACGGCCATTCATGTATTTCATTGGATTTCATTCGATCTAGTTGAATTTTCAGTTTTTTTTCTATAATTTATGTATACTATTAAAATGAAAACGAATCAAAATTATTGCGTTTTGTATAGTAATTTTTGAAAAATATATATATATTAAGGTAAAAAGAAATGGAAACATTTTGTGATTTGTAATCCAAAAGTGTTAATAACTTAATAAAGAAGTTTTTAAGATTATCAATTAATTTTAATTGAACAATATGGACTTTCCTTCGAGTGAAAAATATACAGTTGAAATGTGCATTATATATGTAATACATATAAAATTGCGTGATATATATATCACCAATAAAGTAAATTTAGTTTCTTTAAATATGATTTTACAAAAAAATATTTGTATATATAATTATGAATTTTATTATATATAAATATTTATATGTCTTTTTTTCCAATCATTTTTTTTTATTATATTCTACATTTTATTTTTAAAATTATCAAATTCATATATCGTACAAAAAATAGCAAAAGATAAGAATATAAGATATGAGATATTTTTTCTTTATTGTTTTTGCATAAAATTTTACATGAAAAGTGAAAAAATGAATATAAATATTATAAATTTTAAGAAAATTGTAAATCTTTAATTTTACTAAAATAAAAAGAAAGTGATACAAGTAAAAATTCGTACTTATAATTGAGATGATGATTTCCGATAAATAATTAATAGAATAATATAAATATAACATAAATAAGTTATGAAATTAATACGTCAGTTTTAATAATACAACAATT